TGATTTATGTTTTCCTAGTTTTATGTTATATTTTATAAAGTATTAATTTATTATTTATTGCTATTAATTCTTTTCTTGTTTATCTTGTAATTTATGAAGGCATATGTTTTTATTCTTTCTTTGTATTAATGGAAGTCTTCTGTGGCTATGATGTTACTCTTGGCTATGCTTTCGGCATCTCTTTGGTTCCAACCTAGTTTTCCATCATTGTTATTTCCTGTGTGGTCTACAATTTTAGTTTGAAGTTCATGTATCACCCAAGAGTGAAGACACCTCCTAATTTTCACATTTACAGGGTATAGTGGCAGAGGCTTTGTGTAATCTGTTCCTGTTTTTAATTTCTACTCTATCCTCATTGTGACCAGAGTTCTCAACCCACTTCCTTCCTGGAATGTATTGCTTTTGTCAGTATCACTTAATAAATGGTTACATTTTACAAATTTCCCATGGGCGTTGGTAGACGTACTCTCTATTTTAATAATTGTATTCATGATATTATTGAGATACGTTGTCATTTTGCTTATTTTTTGTCTTCTTAATCTGTTATTGCCTCCAGTGATTGGTCTCCACCACTCATGCATTTCTGTTTGTTATTGCATCAACAGCTATTCTTGGTTTATGAATGCTAATGCCATTGTATTTGATACATAGATATAAATTATTCATGTTTTCCTCACGAATGGTACCCTTGAACATTATAAAAATCCCTTCTGTTTTCATTTAATAGTTTTTGGCCTGAATCCAGCCAGGTCTGGTAGTGAAATCATGATCATTGCTTTCTTTGGTTTCATTTGCCTGAGTTACTTTGGCCTACTCTTTTAGCTTCAATCTGAGAGAATTACTTTGTTTCAGACGTATCTCTTAAAGTCACCACATTATAATACTTCATAATTTTGTTTTGCCTTGCGTTGCAGCCTAAATATATTCCTTTTTTAATAGTGAGTTTAGTCCATTTATATTAATAAATTTGACAGATATCTCTGGTCTCATTTTTTTCATATTATCTTTGTAATCATTTCATTTTTTGAAAAAATGTCACTAGGAGGCAGTTTTCTTTGATTTTTCTTCTTTGTGTATTTCCTTGGTTAACTAGCAAAGCTTGTATTGTTCTGGTTATTGTCTTTGCAATTACAACTTTATACAATGTTCCTATCTTCTATTTTTCTGACATTTCTGTTTTCTTATCAGAAGTACTGATGAATTTAGTATTTTCTTTTTCACTCTACTTCTTCCCTACCATGCAGTTTTATGTACACTTGACAATTGGCTCCCAGGTATTAAAGACAAGGAAATCAGCATTCTTAAAGTGCCATTTACTTTCTGTCCCCTTTCTTTTTGCAACTCTAGTCAATTTTTAATTTGTACTTTGTCAAGCGTGTGAGATTTACCTTTTGGTTTGTTACCCCATATTATTTTACTCTTAGATAAATATACTCACTGCCTCTTCCTAGTCCTCTGTAGTGGTTTCTTAGGTTAAACTTTGTGGTTGGTCTCTCTCTTGTCATCGGGGAGAATTATAAAGTAGGACTCAGGAGAACAATGTGCATGCTCAAACCATCACTTTGTGTCTTTACAACTGAGTAAAAATTAAACGACATCTTAGATCAGACTTTTTTTACTTTGAAGACTTTTCAGCATTGAATATTACTGTGGAGATGTCTGAAGCCAGCTTTATTTATTGGAGGGATAAATTATTTTATCTTTCTTAATGTTTCTTTTTATCTTTGAAGTTCAAGTTTTTTTTTTTTCTACAGCTTTATTGAGGTATACTTGACAGATAAAAATTGTATGTAATTAAAGCATACAACTTGGTGATTTGAAAAAAGTCTGTGAATTGTAAGATAATCACCATAATCAAGCAGCTGATCAACATATCTATTACCTCATGTGGTTACTATTTACTTTTCTTCTTCCTCCCTCCCTCTCTCCCTCCCTCCCTCCCTTCCTTCCTTTCTTCCAACACTGTAGATGTACACTGTTTACAAATCTCAAGTATATAATATTGTTAACTAGCTTTACTTTGTTGTACATTAGAGCACCACAATTTATTGCAAAACTGGAACTCTCTACCTCTTGACCAACATCTTCCCCTGGTAACCACCATTCTACTCTGTGTATCTATGTGTTTGACTTATTTCATATAGATTAATGTTTGTCAGATTCATCCATGTTGTCACAAATGGCAAGAGTTTGTACTTTTTAAGGGATAAATAATCTTCCATTATTTATGTGTAAGCAAATTTCTCTCTTGTTCACCTTATCACATTATATATATAATATATACACACACACGTGTGTGTGTGTACACACACACATCACATTGTCTTTATTCATTAACCTGTCATTTTTATTCATTAACCTGTTTTTTATATCTTGTGAATATCCTGAAATGAACTTATGAATACAGTTATATCTTTATGATTTTGATTTTACTCCCTTTGGGTGCATACTAAGGAATGAGATTTCTGGATCATAAAGTATTTCTATTTTTACTTTTTTGAGGAATCCCTATCCTGTTTTCTATGATGGCTGTACCAGCTGACATTCCCAGCAACAATGTATAACAGTTCTCTTTTATCCACATCTTTTGCAACACTTTGTTATACTTTTTGTCTTTTTTGTATAATAACCACTCTAACATGTATGAGGTGATAATTTGTTGTGGTTCAGATTTGTTCTTCTTCCATCATTAGTGAAGTTGAACACTTTTCATATATTTGTTGGCCATTTGTAAGTCTTCTTTCAAGAAATGTCTACTCGGGTCTTTTGCCCATTTTTCAGTTAGGCTATTTTGTTTTGTGTTCGGTATTGTTGTGTGAGTTCCTTGAATATTTTGGTTGTTAACACCTGATCAGAATATCTGATTTGCAAATATTTTCTCCCAGTCCATAGATTTCGTTTTCACTTTGTTGATTGTTTCCTTTGCTATACAAACGATTTTTAACATGTTGAAATTCCACTTGCAAATTTTTATTTTTGCTGTCTTTTGGTATCATAGCAAAAAATTATTGCTCAGACCTGTGTTAAGAAGTTTTGCCTATTTTCATTTAATAATGTTATGGTTTCTTATAGTCTTACATTTAAATCTTTAATCCATTATGATTTGAATTTTGTATATTGTGTGAGATAATGGTCCAGTTTCCTAAGCATGTGGATTCCTAGTTTTCCCAGCACCATTAATTGAAGAGACTATTGTCTTGCCATTGTGTATTCCTGGATTCTTGCCCCCTAGATGTGTAAATTTACTCCTGGGTTATCTGTTTTGTTGGTAGGCACCTCTGTTTTTACACTGTAGTGTACTGCCTGATTACTATAGCTTTGTACTCTATTTTAAAATCAGCCAATAGGGTACCTTCATATTGTTCATGCTAAAGATTACTTTGGCTATTTAGAGTTTTTGTGGTTCCATCTGAGTTTAAAGATTATTTTTTCTATTAATATAAAGAACACCACTGGGATTTTGGTAGAGATTGATTGAATATGTGGATCACTGGATACATGAGACTGGTGTGAAGGAGGAGGTAGAGAGTTTGAAGACAGAGCTTAGATGTGGGGGCTGGATTTTCTCCAGGAATCAGTATGAATCTCTGGCTAGGTCACAGCCGGGAGTGGGTAAAGAGGCTTAGGACGAAGCTGGAGCCAGGGCTCTATCCTCTTCAGCTGCTATGCCATCTGATCAGAAGTACAAGGAATTTGAAAATTTTGAATTCTATCCAGGTCATTGCACAGATGTAGTTGTCAAGATGGGAGAATAGAACATACTGTGTTGAGAATTTTGGTTGGTTGATTTAGCTCATTTATGAGTTCCTAATAGACTGTGTAATTTACCCATCTATTAGGTTTATGGTTTATTATCTGCCTCCCCTACTAGAATATAAGTTCCAGGAGGGTGAAGTCTTCATTTTGTTTGCTCATAACAATCAAAGAACCCAGAACAATACCTAACCCATAGCAGGCACTCAAAGTATTACTAAATTAAATGAATGAAACCAGCACCTAACTCCTGCTAACTCCATAATAGGTTAACTTATTCCAATAAACTCAACAAAATCCCAGCTATTCTTTTAGGCACTCTGATAAGCACTCTGAGTGAAAGGTTCACTCTGAAGTGTATACTGAGGTTTCCTCGGGGCTGGATCATCTGGGCAGATCATGAGAACGTGGGATGAAGCATACAGGGCTCAATGGAGCTTAGGACCTGGAGGTTACACTTTCTGAGTTTGCTGATGCTTACCCAGTTCTTGATGGCACTATTCATATAAAGAAAGTGTCAGCAATACTCATGTATGTGATTTTTTAAGAAGCATTATATCAACTGGGAAAGAAATATATGCACACTTTCAAACTTCACACCAAATCTGACAAACAGGCTGCAGGTGAGGGATATCAAGACCCCTTATCTTTAGAAGCACTAAGGAATATTGTACCATTGGTCCTGCGTGAACTCATTGGTTCAAAGGTATGGCTCCTGACTTTTCTCACTGTGTTAATTCAGTATTTTTAAAATAATTCATCTTAATGAAAACAACTATAAAGGGTAAATTACAGCGGGCGTGTTCATCTTTAATGCTCTGTAGCTTGGGGAAGGTACTGGTCAGAATTTTCCAACTGAGGATTGATTTCTTGTTTTCCATTCAAAGAACCAAAACAAAGTCTCAACAAAGGTAAATTAAGCTATTGTTCATCTTGATGATAATCAGAGTGATTCACCAAAGTAGGTTAGTTTAGTAATAATAGAAATATTTCCTAAGCTTAACCTACTCAATGAACAAAAACAAAGCGAAACGTTGAGTATTTTGCTGGTTGTGGAAGACATAGCTCAAGTACTGCCTCAGGGTCCCTTAGCTTCACATTTCTCCAGGTCTCTGAGCTATTACTCCTGCCTCAACTGCTCCCAGGTGAGCACCCCCATGCAAGCCTCCTGCAACAGATCAATCAGAAGCTTGAACTCTAGAAGACAAGGTTTTATCGAGGAAGCCAAACTACCGTGAGTGGGTTGAATAAGGCATTTATTATAGGCATAGGTCTTCATGGCTGTTGGAGGTGGAAGTGGAGAAGTGTCTGAAAAACAAGCAGTTAAATGATCAGGGACCAGACTTGATCAGGCAAAGGAGCCTGGCTGGCAGGGAAATCTGGAGGCAAAGCAGAGCCAGCTGCAGTAAGGACCACACAGAAGAGAAGCACTCTGCACAGGTGGTGGCACTTTGTGACCACGGCCTCTGTGAGTCTCTGAAGAATGTTTAGCTGGCCTGAGATCACAGTTCTTCAGCAGAGGACAACATAGAAGAGGGAACCATGTGAACAGATAGGAACCCTCTTGCAACTGTCTTACTGGGTGGAAATGGCATTTGTCACTCACCACTTCTAACCAATGATGACTTTCAGAATGGAATGGCTGCTGCTTCACTTTCGCCTCCCAAGTTTTGTTCATATGAACAAACACAGATCTGTAAGCACAGAGGAAAGTGGGTTGGAGGAAATGCAGTTTGCAGCATAACCAAGGTGCCTGGGCTGCAGAGCCTGGAATTTGTCAGGTGACTCAACCTGGAAGCTGGGAGAACTACCTACCACTGAGATAAATTTTGACCAATGGGAGATAGCTTGCAGGCAAGCTTTCTCTTTGCTCTTCCCTTTGATGAACTATTCGTGGACACAGTTTTCTGTAGAACCCGTTCACAGGTGCTTTACATGGCCTCTCCACTGATTGTTATCTTTTGCATTGGTGAAGCATATGCTAGGCTGGTAAATATCACCCTTCCCCATCTCATTTCACTTTTTTCTCACTCTTGATGCCTTGGGATTGCATCTTGCAATGAAACAGTAGCACCTCATCCTTCCTAAGAAAATACCCACTTAAAGAATCACAATGAAAATCAGGTGTGAATTGTGTGAGTTGTCGGTAGAGACTGATTTTCTGTAAGGCTCAGGTCATTTGCATGGGATGGGATTCTAACATTAATAGTGCCTTGCATTTTAAGAACATCATCATCTCTCTTGGCTGGAGAAGTCCATGAACAAGTATTTCTCTGAGACAGATAGAAAAGATGGATCAGGGGAGCAGAGATTCTTTTAGCCAACACATGACTTGTGAATTAAACCCTCAGCAAGAATACACACTCCATCAATACTTTGCTCTCCGGCACTTTTCTGAGCAATAACCCTGCCATAGTTCAATAAAGCAGTGCAAAGCCTGTTATTCATTCTTACACATCTACGCCAGTCTGCGTTTTCAAAACATTGTGAGGCACAGAGTGGAGAAACTGCCTGGATTGAGCCCCGAGCAGCCAACTCTCTTTAACCCATCCATTTCCCCAGACGCACAGGTGTCGTGCCATTACAACTCATGTAGCTATTAATCAATGAGACAGCGATGGTCCTTCCCCTCCACAACATTTACAACCTATTTTTAAAAAGAATAAAACACAGATACTGTGGAATACAGCGAAAAGCATGCAAGCATTCTTCAAACATGAGAGGTAGGCTTTGGTAGTTCCCCTCACCCCACCCCTCGTAGTTAAGAGCTTGTCTTCACAGGGAAGGAATTGGGGTGAAATCGCCACGTGGCACAGCATGTAACATCTATTACTTAATATAAGACGAAGAAACTGCATATGGGAAAGAGTGCACATAATTGGCCCCATTTCACAGCAAATAAGGATTTTATCAGCACGAAGAACAAGGGAATGCCATCTCAGCTGCCGCGGTGGGCGCCCTTTATTGAAGACACTTCTCCCCTCCCTCAACCCATCCAGACCCCCAGAGCCCACCAGGCACCCCAGGCACCTTTCTGCACTAGTTCCATATTCTCTGGATTTCCCACCCTGAAGAGGGTCTTGAAATGCTGGCATTTCCTCAGGCACCTGCTTACGGAAGAAACGTGCGTGCAAATATTTCAACTGCCCCCGGCCCTCCCAGCAAATATGCCTTCGTGTTAATCTGCTCTCGGCACACAGGCCACGGCCGGTTGACGTGCGCAAGGGTTGCAGGCGCGGGCAGGCGGTCGCGAGCTGAGGCTGGCGGGGCTCAGCTTTGCCCGGGGATCGAAGCAACCCTTCCTTCTTTCCCAGAAGCCGAGTGTGTCTGTCTGTGAGCCCGGGAAGTTCTCGCTGCAGGTGGCGGCCAGGGACCGGGGGCAGGCACACGCAAGTCGTGAGTGCTGAGCAAATCACGGCCTCAGAAGGGCGCCCGGGGACAAGGGCTAGGCAGCGCCAGGGCAGGCCGCCAGGCTGCCGCTGCCTTCGGAATCCGCTCTCCCCGGGACCGAGCGCCGGCGTCACCCGCGGCCACTCCTTCGGAGCCCGCCTCCGCAGGACCCGGTAGGCGGGGGCGCCTCTACGGCTCAGGCCTGCAGCTGCCAAGTCAGGTCCCCACGCCTGGTGATCCCCAGACACGAGGGGGCTCTCCGGAGTCCGGGCCTGGGGATAGCCCAGGGAGGAGGTGGAGGGTGGGGGGAACCTTGCACAGCGAGGGAGCTGTGCACCCAGAGCCCCGCTCGCCCCTCGACCCGAGAGAGGCGCTCGGCTGACCGGTGTCCCCGGGAGCACTCGCCACCCGCCGAGCTGTCTGGCCCGGCGGGCGAGCGCGAGCCGGGGGCGGGGAGCCCGGAGCGCCGCCCCGCCAGCGCGCCCCGCCCGTGGGAGAGGAGGGGCTGCGGCGCGCGGACCACTGGAGGCGCAGCGCCGCCGCCGCTGTCGGTGCCGGAGACCGCGGCTCGGAGCAGCGGCGCCGGTGCCTCCGCTCGGTTCCGCGGCCAGCCCGCGCCGTCTCCCGCCGCCCGCCGCAGGAGCCGCGGCGCTACTGCTCGCCCTCCCGGTAGGTGTCCTGGGCGCAGAGCGGGTTCTGGGGGTGGACACAACCGTGCCCGCACCGCGGCTCGGGCATTGTCCGCGTCCGGAGGGCCGAGGACCCTCCAGGGACGTGCAGTGGGGCGGCCGCGGCCTTGGCCCCCGAGGTATCGCAGCCCCTGCTGGCTCTCTCGGCGGAAAGCCCCCGGCCAGGCAGTGTCAGCCGGTCCCCGCGTTCGGGAAAGGGGCGTTTGCGTCCCGGTCTCCGCTCGCCGCCCGCCCTCAGCTCGCTGCCGGGGGATCCCGGCCACCCTGGCACTGGCACCCGCATCCGCCGCGCCGCCCAGCGCCCCGCTTCCCCCACCCCCCGGGCTTGCTGGGGAGTGGAGCTGGGGCAGGGACGAGGACTGATGTAATTGTCGGCGGAGAGCCGAACCCTCGCGGTGGGAGCGCCAGCGCCCGCGCGCGCGAACGCCTACGCCGCACCTTTCAGGGAATCCGGGCGGCCGGGAGGAGCGGCCGGGGAAGTTGTGCATTGGGGTTTATTGTGCGCGTGCACTGCGGACTGGCCTGGTGGGCGCTCCTGCGGCGCTGCCCGCAGCCTCGGTCCACACCCGGCCGGGCCGAGTCCGCCTTCCACGGTGCAGATCGGAACAGGGGTTGCAATGCAGTCGAGACGTGCTTCCCCTCCGTAGAGCCTGAGCTGCCCGCAGATCGTGTCGCCGGGGATGCTGGGGGAGAAGGGATAGGAGACCTGGGGAGGAAGCCACAGGGAGAACTAATGACAGCAGCAGATTTTTTTTTTTTTTTTTAAAAAGCCTGTGCAGTGTATAGACACATTTTCCAGACACCTTCTAAGCTGGTCTTGAAAGTTAGGACCAGATACTGATGATGTGGTAATTCTGTGATAGACCCAAATGGTTGCTTAAACTGGAGACCTAAAGCTGGGGAAAGCATTACATAATGGACATGAAGCAAATGACACGAAACTAAGTGAGTCCACTGGGTTACCAGATTCTTTCTTTCTTCGGGATGCAAAATCCTATAAAGCTTTTATCTTTATATGAATTTCCATTTTTAAATCATTGAGCTAGAGTAGCAAATCGTGTATTATGTTCAGTTCTGATTTTTCCCCAACTAACAAAATAACCTTTTTTGAATATCTTTTCTTGAATTAAAAAATTGCACGCTATTGGGTAGTTATATATCCAGAACTAATTAACAAATTTGGTCCTCAAAGGTAAAATAAAGAGATTTCCCATCTTAATATCTTTAACTTTGCTTTTCCTCTTATTTTTAGGCTTTTGTTTGTTTTCCTTTGGCTTTTGGAAGCATTTTTAGTTTTGGGTACTGCAAACTCACAATGTTGATATTCCTACGGAATGTTACAGCATTGCAGATACAAAGACTAATAATAAACGAAGGGGAAAACCTCCCAGTAACTCTGAGCGGGAGCAGGGTTCCCAAGGTCGAAGGGAAGCTGCAGTGTAACTCAGCTCTAATCACCTCCAGAGAGTCTGCACAGCCCTCATCCGGTTATAAGGAAGGCTTTGATTGGTGGAGGATCTCTTCCAGGATTCTTTTGCAGCAAAATGCTGGATATTTTCCTCTAAAAATGAGTTTTCCAAGGTAAAAACAAAATATTTGCAAATAAAAATTCTGTGCTCGTAGAAAGTCTAAAAATCATGTTTTGGGCCCATATTTTCAGTTGTTGAGAGCTCAGTGATACTTTCAGCAGACTCTCCCTTCAGGGATGCCTCAGGTTCAAGTTGGGAAGATTTCCCAGCTGCCTGCTGGCTTCAGGAGGGTGTGCTCTTGGGTTTTTTACAGGATTAGGTACTGGCTGTTAACGCTTGTTAACTTTACTCCAAGAAGAAAGGGGAGTTCTTCCAAGTTGAAGTGTTTGTGATTGGAGGTCTGTAAGACCATGAGGAATATAGCATTAGGTACAATCTCTAAGTAAATAAAAGTTTCATGTGACTTTACCCTGAAAACTGTTGGACCAGAGAGAAGATTTAAATTTTATTAAAGCGCCTTGCTTTCATTCAGTAGTCATTCAATTGAAAACCCACTCTGTTAAAGACACTGGTCTAGGCCCCAGGGGAGGTGCAAATAAGGATAAAGAAATGACCCTGACTTCAAGAGTTTGAAGTCTAGTTTGAAAAGATCAGGTATATGAATTCTCAGAGGAGGGATTTTTTTTTTTTAACTGCAGGGACTAAGTTATACATAACATTTTGTTTTAATTTTGAAAGAGTCTGCTCACTTCTGGGAAGTTTTTTCTCTCTTCACACTCAACATTATAACACCAGGATTCATCTGCATGGTATGTAGCTGGAGTTCATTGACTTTTACTGCTGTGCAGTATTCCATTGTGTTTTTCTTACAGTGCAGTAGGCCTCTCTTCTCTGGCCAGGGCCATTTGTTCTTTTCATTTTATCAGAAATTGCCAACAGTATCATTCTGGTCATTTATGTTTCTTGGGGCAAGTGTGCAAATGTTTCTCTTGAGTAAATTCTAAGGAATAGAATTGTTGATGTGTGGGGTTGTTTGAATGTTCCACTTGCTAGGCATTGTGAAATTATGTTCCAAAATGGTTGTACTAATTTATTCAAGCTAGGGAAACAAGCAAACATAGATGACCCAATACAGACAAGTGCTTTTTTTGTTTGTTTGTTTTGGATGCATGTATATGTTGAAACACATTTTTTTTAAAGCAAGAGAATGGCAAACATAACACTTAGGATGACAGTATGTGTCTGGAGGACCAGGGGGCTGGCACAGGGAGAGGCAAATATGAGGGTGAAAGTTACAGCTAGTCATCTGGTACTTGAGTTTATGGTGGACTCATAGGTGAATGTTGTATTAAAAAGAAAAGGGATCACACATAGACCAGTGATGATCATTTTAAAGTTCTAAGGAAAAAAACAGTAAGGACAGTAGTTGCAAGACAGCCGGTTTCTGTACCAAGAGACCCACAAGATGTCAACTGAGGGATGAGGAAGGTGTCCCTGGGGCCAGGCTTGAGTTGTCCAGAGTTCATGGGAGAGCTGTTTCAGAAGCATGAGCAAAAAGTGGTCAAGGGAAGAGGAAGACGAGGAAGACGGTCCCTCACGCTGAGGAAATGGCATGAACAGAAGGGGAGGGAGCATGGGAATCCTCCAGCAGTGAACCACGGGCAATGTTTATGAAGAAGTCTGGGGAATGGATGGGTTGGGGTAGGAGAGAGATCCAAGGCAGGGCCTGCAGCTGGGAGGCTGCTGGTTGAGAGGAGACTTAAGTTTGGAGAAAATGAATCAGAAAGAATGATTTAAAAACACACTGGGTTAAGAATCCAAGTTTGCCATCCGAGGCAAGAAGAGGGAAGACTCAAGTGTGTTTGATGTCATGAGAAGAAATAGGGAAGCTGGTGGGAGCTTTTACTGTCATGTCCTCAGGTCACGTGTAGAGCAGTGAGAATGTAAGCTCACCTTCGCACTTTGAGATGGTGAGCAGGTTGGACCCTTGCATTGAGACATGTGACCCTCTAATGATGTGTCTGCGTGAATGTGGGATAGTATGTGAATTATTTGTCTTTGCAACTCACTAGTGTAGATGAGACAGACAATAGTTGGATGCAGGTTCAGAGAGCATGTCTTAGCATTGACGATGAGGTCATTGAGAGAGTACCAGGAGTCACTCAGAAGGCTCTGAATCAAATCCCACTTGGCAGTGTGCTGGTAATATATGATTTCCGGGGCGGGAGAGGGAGGGGGCTGGGAACCTCTGACCTCAGTGATCACCCATTGAAAAGGAAGATATTAATAGCCACCTCACGTGGGTGCAAGGAACAGGGTATGACTGAGAGACCAGTGCATTTAGGGATAATGTGTGCTGCGTAGTGTTTCCCAGTGAATGATTCACATGCATTTATAGTCTCTCACATGCACCCCCTTGAGAGAGAGAAAGGGTTATAGCCCTTTCAGTTTTGTTCATTATGATGAAGAGTTGCTTAAGCTCTTGGTGAGGACAAGGATAGGGCTTTTATTTCTGAGGCTGTTCTGGAATATTACATAGTGTCCTTTGATTCAATGTCATTTCATCGGGTTCTTTGTTTTGTAAGTATTGCGATAGGTTTTCAGAATTTTCATTTATTTAAAAATTCATCTAATTTTGCATTCTTTAGATCATCTTTTGATGTCTTGACTTCTTTTCATTACTGCTAACCTTCAATGCTAACTTTCTTCTCACACCAACGTTCCATCAGCTGCTGCCACAGTCAGTGGTGGCTAGATGGTTTTCTCCGAGAGACGGCAGTCCTCAGTTGCCTTTCCTGGAGCAGTGATTTGGAGAACATCTTGCTGGGATTTCCAGAAGCCATCAATGGAAATGTGGTGACGGTGACATTATAAATACATTTTGAAAGGACTGACATCACAAGGCAGGGAAGAGCCTGTTTACCAATGCAGTCAGAAGTTCTGGGAAAGTTGAGGAGCCTATAGCCTCTGTGTTTTGGGGGCTGGTTATCTATATTCCCCACCCTGGGCTACACAGTCTTTACGTTCTCTGAATACGTACAAGTGTTTAGTAACTTGAAACCCAGAGCCTGGGCTTAGAGACTGTGGTTAAAATGATGAACTCAAATTAATTTTAGGCCTTACTAAATCTAGGGATGATACAATGTATAGCTCAGAGATTGATAGTCTGCCATTCTGGCATGGTTCTGGCTTTTCATGAACCTTAGAGTCAGTTTCACATCCCTTACTGATCCCGGGCTGATCATTTGCACAGGGTGACCGTGTCCGCGGGTCTCGTGTGAGGGTGACAAAACGGACATCAAGTGCTTCCCTTCTTCAGACAGTGTTTGCTGGACATTTTGTACACACAGACACCATATTAAATGCTGAGTCATGAACGTATCTGCCCTGAAGGGGCTACCTAAAACAGAATCTACCAGAACCAAGTCATTATTGAATAGAGGTGTTTGTGGGAGGGGGTGTGGACATGGTTTTGGTTATAGAATTTGCATGAAGTATTTGTTTTTTTTTCCTGACATTTTTTCCAGATTTATGTATAGTCCTCTGTGAACTTAAAGCGCTGTAGAAAAAAAAATACAGTCCTTGCAAAAAAGCAATTCTTTTTAAAAATCATTTATTATTTATTTGAGGAAGATGGAAGGAGGCAGTCAGGGAGGGAGAGGGAATGAGCGAGCGAGCGAGCAAAAACTCCTGTCAGTTGATTCATCCCCCAGACAGACACCTGTAATGGCTGCGCCTGAGCCTGTCTGATGCAGGGAGCCTAAACTTCGATCCAGGTCTCCCATGTGTGTGACAGGAGCTCAATTACTTGAGC